GAACTTATTTTTGAAATCATATATCTTTTGAGTAGGTTGAGCTTGTTCAATTTGTTAAAAGCACAACAAAAACTTGAATAATTAGGAAAACATTCTCCAGTATTTTTACTTTTCTTCATCGTATCAACTAAATTAATGAATTTTAAATCTTATTCGTAAATGATTTGTTAGTGTCTTGAAGAAATGTGTTGTATAGAGCCGTAGAGGAATAAATTTGACATAACTAAATTTTTAGGTGACCCATGTGTTTGGATTTCATTATAATCTCCTTATAAAAGAATTATAATGAAATGATTAATAAATCATACAAAATGTGACATACTAAAATTGTAAAGTCTTAACACAATTAGGGGTGGACATGGTCTAGAACCGAACCGAACCCGAAATTTCGGGTATTTAGTAAATAGAACCGTCAGATCTAAATTTAATTATAGAACCATTCGAGTTTGGTGTCATTCTGTTCAGTTCGATTCGGTTCGATTCTATTCGATTATTGAATTCCGTATAATAATTAATTTTTTTTATATTACAACAACGCTACTTTAATTTGACTATGACATATTCAATCTTAAATCTTACAAAATAACGTAGTCTAATCTCGTGATATTTTTTTCACCTCTTTTGTTAAATTCTTCATAGATTTGACTATTAAAATCAGAGGAAGAGGAAGATAGCCAGTTCACAATAATAGAACAGTAGAAATGACACTAGGTAAAATAAGAGATTTGGATAAAATTTAGGTCAATTTGATTAAATTGGGCTTCACTGAAAATTAGAAATAATTAAATCATATTTTGGGTTTGGGCTAACTTAATTAGTTAACAATTTATTTAAAAAAATAAAATAATTTGACCTGTCTAAGATAAAAAATTAAAAAAATTAGGGAGATTCAGTTTTTATTCGGTTCTTGGTCTAAAACTAAACCAAACCCGTCAGGTTCTCGATTCAAATACTCATTTGGGTATTTAATTTAAGAAGAACCGTTCGCTTCGTAAGTTTTGTCCAACCTTAAACACAATGCATTAAACTCAAGCAATTCTCTGCATTTTGCATTGAACACAAACCGCTCTATGCATTTTGCGCAAAGCCATACAATGTCTTGTATTTGTTTTTTTCAAATAGGATGATCCTACGTGACATGTCAAGCATCTTCTCGAGCCTAAGTAGTCAGGCCTAGGGGTGGGCAAAAATCGAACCAACCCGACTAACCCGATCGGGTTGGGTCGGTTTT